AATGAGGATAATTTTTATATCATGTCAGTGATGGCTGGGTAATGCTAAGAAGATGGGGAAATGGCCTCCATATCTAAAGTTTACTCCTAGTTCTCTTGGGGAACTGCTGGTCAGAACACTCATGGCTCCTTGCTTCAGTGTTGCTTCTGGTAGAATGCAGCTGATCCTGCACCTATGACTCCTTCTCATTGATAATAACCTCCTCTAATTCCAGTGCAGCCTAGACTCTTTACAAAGAAGTAGAGTCCAACTAGACAAAATGAGAATTTTGGTAAACCTTCATAGAATTGACTTTAGCAGAAATATCAAGAGAATGGGCCAATGATGGGGGAATAGTGCCATAACAGTCAAGATACCGGCAGCAGCTTCTTCTCTGATCAGGTATCAGTGCTATTAAAAAAACTGTGAGTATCAGTAGCAGCTTGGCCTGCATTACCCAGTTTAAACACTTTGACCAACTTTGTTCAGAGCTAAGGTTCAGCTTGATCAAGCATGGTGGCATTAGTGAGCTCTGTAAAGCAACCTTATCTCCTTTATGTGTAGCTCTTCTATTCTAGGCCTTTCAGATCTATGTTCTGGATGACCTTCTCTCTGAGGACAAGCAAGGCCAGGATTATTCAGTTTCTTTATACAATCCATACAAACATTCCAAGTATTTGGATCTTTAAAGCATAGTGTAGAATCATTACATTTTAGAAATTAGGGTCCTTTCCGGCTTGCACTTAACTATAGTACAAATATGCTCTGTTGGCATCTTTTTTTCTACCATGTTCTTATCACTTTTCTCATCTTGTCTCTTGTCTATGAAAGAAAACTGATTAAGTTTTCCTTAGCTGTATTTGGCATTGAAGTATTATTTTCCTCCTTATTTCAATACTATCCAAGGACAGCTCCAAAGAATGTAAACATTATTAGGATGCGTCACACGTTATTTTGAAGGAAAGTCAGGTAGCTGCAGTGATTTGAAACAGTGGCAACAGAGGCAGGTTAGAAATTGGCAATCGGGGTAGAAAATTTTAGATTGGTAGAGTTTTTCTGCCAACCCAAGAATGAGTGGATATCACTTCATTTTAGCAGTGGGGAAAGATCATATGCCAAAGATTAAAACAAATCTTTCATTATTCATAAAATGGGAGCCACAAAGGCTTTTACTTTGGAGGTACACTTTACCTTTGGCCCACAAAGTGTTTCAAAGGGGACATCATGATGTCACTGGAATGAATTAATATTTTTGTACCTTTCTTGAGTTTTCAGGAAGTAGGTGGGATTAAGGGGCAAAATAGCACTCATTTTACTCCTTAAATGCACTTCCTCAAAAGAGAAAGCTTAAAGAATTCTTAAGATACCTTCTTTGGCCTTTAACTCCCAAATTAAAAATTAGGCCTCATCTATTCTGGGGCTCCTCTGTGGGTTGTAAATATGCTAGGGTATGTGGGCCAAGGCAGGTTACAATTCCTCATTTAATTTGCATACTGAACCTTTCTTGTCTTGTTATCAGGAGTGGACATCCTGCTATCTGAGGTAGAGATTGCAGATTGCATGTAGAAGATGGAGAAAAAGAGTTTTTGCAGAAAAAGGTCTTAAAAAACTGAAAAGTAAGCAATTTCATTGATTTGGCTCTGAAATCTGTATCACCATTCTTGATCCAGAAGAAGAGAAATATCTAGAATGTAAAGGCATTGCAGAAGAATTGGTGCATATTACTGAAGTAGAACAGGATAGTATGTATCTCCTCCAGAGGTAAAAAGTTCAGAAACCAATCAATGTAGAATAGCTGAAATAAGCAAAATCTGAATGCAGTCCTAGAAAGAACTGTAGCAGTGACTCAGGGAAAGTAAATCCCATATAGGGGTCTAGAACAGCAATCTCTTCTTAGAATTCTGTATAGAATTCACTTATTAATGGATTGACTCTGATACTCTATCACAAGCCAAAATCAGCAAAGAAAATTAAGTCTCTATTTCTATAGCAACCTTTAGAAGACTAAATCCTGGGCACAGTTTGCAAGTAATTGCAGCAATTCTGAAAGCTTTGCTTTGAGCATTAGAGCTCCTGGGTGAGGGTTTCCCTTGCCAACGAAAGGTGAGTTCCTGTAGATATATCAAAAGCAGGTTATTTTAATTGTCTTAAAAAACATGATAATGTTATTTAGTTTAAAAAAAAATGGCAATGATGATGATGACTACAGGAGAATCTCAGCATTCTCTATACTACTGCTCAAGATATCTTAGATGGGACTTCCTTCTGGCCCTTAGAGTTACAAAAAGCTGTAGAATGGGAGAGCTTGACAGTAATTGAATTAATATGTTTATATTTGTGTTTATAAATATAAAAAACCCAAAATTAATTGAATACAATTAGTTATACAATTATGTATTGCATTTATGCTTCTTCTAAGGCATAAATTTTGCAGGGAGTACAGTTCAAATCTAGGATTTTATCTAGGATTCATTCAGAATGTAAAAGAGCAAAAATATATCATATTTTCTTTCCATTTTAAATCACAGCAAAATGTGCCTGAATAGCCACTCATGAATTTCTAGCAACCACGATTTGCTTTAAAGCTGCTTGGTGATTTTGAAGCCCTTCTTTCCAGAGGAGAAAATATCAGTCACTAGATAGACAGAAAGAGAAAGGCAGCTTCTGTAACTCACTTTGTCACAGCTCTGTATAGAATTTACTTATTAATGGATTGACAAAGAAGCTGCATGCCAGGAGTTATTAACATTTGACAGTAGAAATTTTAATGAACTATACATGTCTGTATAAAACAATACTAAAAGGCCCTGAAGTGTTACATCCTTTTTTAGTTTCAAAGGATAGGCAATAGTGTACAATATCTTTAAATTCATAACATTTCTGACAGCCCTTTATTTAACAACTATCAGTTATGTATCTGGCTGTGCAGAAATGAAAAGAATTGGTCCATGCATCAGAGGATTCACAATATAAGATGAGGGAACAAAAGATGTAATAAATCAAGATTTTTATTTCACTTGCAATAGGGAATGAAGTGAACATGTCCAGTGAGATCACAGGAAAGAGGCACTTTGAAAAGGTTGTGTAGAAGGAAGACTGGAATGGGGATGGGGGTGGGGTGGGGAGATTAAGTGCTATTTCAAAAGGCAGCCTTAAGCACAGAAAAAGATCTGGGGCTTGGGTACCTCATAGAGATTTTTCCTTTTGTCACATTGCTCTGAAAGTTAATTAGCTCAAAATAACTCAGAACATTGACCTCATTTAAGAAATATGTGGGTTTGGAGACAATGCATTTGAGAGCAGGATTAATTAAATATGGACTTACTATTGCTTAAAACAATTGGCATTCCAATCACAGAAACTATGCTGTGATTATCAGATCAGTTTTGAGTAAAGGGTAAACCTGGTTAAGCAAAGGTCCAATTGTTATATCCTTTTTTTATATGAGTAGTTTGGAAGACTCTGGAGCTCATCATCTTATGAAATCCCAGGGAGATAGATGTCTTGAAAGTTATAAAATCTTTCATTAGGATGAATTTTTATCTTTTGTCTTATGAACACTAATTTTTGTTTGCATAGTTTAAGATCTGAACAACTCTAGGAGGAGGAGACTCCTTGATAGTCCTTGACTATCTTGCTGTGACTGGATACTTCCATATACTTTTAAAGTTGTGCAAAGGGGAGAAAAAAAAGGAAGGTCTGGTTATCTTTTTTTCTGGATGGAAATTATTTTGGATCCTAAGAAAACGAAAGAGGAATGCTAATTTTTTCCCTGTCAAGTTAATAAAATGTGCCCAGGTCTGAAGAAATGGCTGCTTAGAATCAGCTAAGCAAGCAAGGATTAGCCCCCTGAAAGTCCATAAGCCAGAGATATGTATTGTGCCAAATCCCTTTTATCTTTGATTTGTCTTTGGGAGGTTCTGTGGCACTGAAGGTATTTTAATTAAATCTATTCACATCAAATTGAAAATTCCTCAACACAACAGAAAGTATTCTTCATTTTCATATGGTATGAATGAATTTGTTCCTACAGTACAAGCTGTGACCTATTTCAGGGGACTCACAGAAGGATGAGGTAAAATCATATTTTAAATTTAGGTGAATAATGTTTTCCAGTTGAACTGAAAGACCAAAAGGTTCTTCAATATAGGGTTAGACCTAAATAAACATAAAAGAGAATATATGTAGCTCACGATTGAACTATTGGGTTCTTGGAGCTGTCTGAGCTTGTTTTCTTGCAGCCATTTCATTACCAGGCTAGGTAACATCATTAGTGCAGTCTCTCTTGCACAAATATGTCTGTAACAAGGCTGGTAGAAGTAGGATTTCCTGCTCTGTCCTTTCAAAGGCCAGTCCCCGTTCTCCCCAGGGATCTTTGTTGGAGGACTGTGAAAAATGTCAGCTGTAGCATAGGGGACAAAGAACATAGGACATTTTTGAAACTAGGGAGGAGAAGGTGCCCTCTATGAGAAAAAGCAACATCAAGAAGTTTGCCTGTATTTGACTTTGGAAACTTCCTTTTCCACTCCACCAAAATCTATACTATCCCTTAATAAAGAATCTTTTTTGATATCCTAAGGGAGAGGAAGGGACAAGGAAGTATGTATCTTAATTTTACCTATTTCTTACCTGTGCATGGTAAAGTCTCCTTTCAGTTGAGGTTGTTCTCTGGTGAATTCATGAGCACGTAGGTTTCTTGACAACAGTATGGATGAGGTTTGCCACTGCCTTTATCTGGGAGATCTAAGCTACAGCTCCTGGTGATCTCCCATTTGAGTACCAACAAAGTTTGACTCTGTATAACTTTTTGAGATCAGCCAAAGTTGGCTTGGTGGGTCACCAAAACACACTGAGGTTATTGTCATTTCTTTGTGTAGAAAGTTTATAATAGATAATTTTGCTTTTTAGTAGTAAGCAACCCACATCCCAATTGATGCAGGGTTAATGAGTGAGTAACTTAAACTCCCTTAAAATAGTAATAGAACATTTTTATTTCAAGACATTTCCTCTTAATTTCAGTAATGGCTGCTTTGGCAGGTGACTCCTCTATTTGTGATGTGACTAAAATAAGCAAAGAGAACCTTTTAACCTTAACAATGGAAATTGGGGTAGGAATTTCCATTGGTAAGCAATGCGGTCGTAAAGCATTATGTCATGTGATCACATCCCTTAGTGACGGCATTCCTGGCAGTCCCTGTTGCCATAATTAAGCGAGGATCACAGGCCGTTAAGCAAGGACCTCCTTGTGATTTCCTGCCGGCTTCCCACAAGCAAAATCAATAGGAAAGCCAGCAGGAAGTTGCAAGTCCCGGGTGGCTCGCAAGCAGGCTGGGGGGTGAATAAGTGGCTGCTGTGAGATTCCCCAGGAACTCATATCCCATAGTATGAGGTATCAGGTGAAAAAGTGGTGGGAGCAGGAACAGCTTACAGGAGTGACTTGCAACTTTCCCTGCCAGCTTCCCCACTGACTTTGTTTGTGAGAAGCTGGCAGGGAAGGTTGCAAATGGCAATCATGTGACTGGGGGACAGTGCAACTGTTGTAAATGCAAGCCAGTTACCAGCACCCAGATCACGATCATGTGACCTTGGGGCTGGTGGGATGGCTGGAACTCTGAGGACCGGTTGTAAGTACCACTTGTTCAGCACTGTTGTAACTTTGAACAGTCGCTGAACTAGTGATCGTTAACCGAGGACTACCTGTAATAGAAAAAAAAAGCCCAAGTTCTTGGAATAAATAAAATATAAAACATTCTTAAAGAGGCCACTAACATTACTGGAGAGCCAATTTGGTGTAGTGGTGAAGGTGCTAGCCTAGAAACCAGGAGACTGTTAGTGCTAGGCCTCCCTTAGGCATGGAAGCTGGCTGGGTGACTTTGGGCCAGTTACTCTCTCACCCCAACCACCTCACAGGGTTGTCATTGTGGGGAAAATAGGAGGCAGGAGTATTAAGTACATTTGCCACCTTGAGTTATATATAAAAAGGTGGGATGATAATAATAATCTAATAATAATAATCATTATCACATGCATTTGAGTATAATGGCAAAAATGGTTTGATTTTGTGGCAGGCTGCATCAGTGCTGAAACTGTGAGAAATGATGTTAATTCTTTGCCATCAAGTATCAGAATGAATATATATATAAAAATATATATATATAGAGAGACAGAGACAGACAGACAGACAGACAGAAACATACCCATAGGGTGCATGCGCACACACACACACACACACACATATACACACAAACATATAGGGCTTGGACTGTATCATAATCAATGGCCTCTTAGGCGTCAGATTTCACGAAAGTCTTTCTTTGGGAATTCTGGAAGTCCCTGCAGTTTTCTTGGCAGGATTTCAGAAGCTATTTGCCCTTGCCTCCTTCCTAGGGCTGAGAGAGTTACTGGCCCAAAGTCACCAAGCTGGCTTTGTGCCTAAGGTGGGACTAGAACTCACGGTCTTCCGGTTTCTAGCCCAGTGCCTTATCCTCTACACAAAACTGACTCTCTATAACATTACATAACTTGCTGTTAAGGTGCAGCCTTTGTAGAACAATTGTAGAATATGATTTTGATATTTTGTACCTGTATTGATTTCTGTAACCTTCATCAGGATGTGATTTAGTCATCAGGGTATGACTTTTCTCATACAATTTTTTTATATGACTGAATGCTCACACATCATGAGTTTGGCTGACTAATGTATTAAAGCAAACCCAAAGGCTTTTTTTAATATTACAGAACTGTTAAGAGAAATGAAGTCCAAGTGGCACTTGCGGTTGTTGTGTAACTAATGTAATGCACTGAAAGGTGCGTCCTGTATCCAGATTTCATCCTGGGGACATGTGTACCACCTGTTTTAAATTTCAGTTTTAAACATTACATCAACCATATGAAAAGAGGAGGAAGAGCTCATTAGGTCTTTGTTTCTTGGCTATATCCAAGTAATATGCAAATCTGCCTCAGATGATTGAAAATTTTAATTTCCATATAGGGTATAGTTTTTAAAAAAGAAGATGGTGGCTGCAATATGCTTAATCTGTTTTTTTGACCATACCTTTAGATGCCCTGTTGACATAGCTTCATCTCTCACTGGGTGGAATCAGTAAAACACATTAATTTTTTCTCACTTGACCCTATTCATTCCTGGGCATGAGAGGTACAAAATAATAATAAAAAAATGGTGCTGAAAACCAGCATGCTTTAATTTTTATAGATGGATTAAATTATACTGAGTGAGCAGAAAAATGGGAAACAAAGAGGAAGACAAAAGGAATGGAGAGGATTCAGCTAAGTGTTTATGATTTCAATGAGAGAATTTTAAGGCAGTACTTAAATTTCTCATGGAAGTTGATGAGAATTAAATACCCTTAAGTTTTACCAAAATGATATCACAATATTGCCCAGGATTATTACTTCAGTATAATTGTTGAGAGAATGAATGAATATTGTTTGTGGTACATTTTTCAATTTTATTTCATAATACCTTCTGAAAATTTGTTTCGATTTTAAACATTCAGACATAATACTAGTACAGAATATACTTATTCCCAATTATGATTTGTCTTTTAACAATGTTAGCATTTGAATCTTTGGCTAAACAATATTTCTATTTTGTGTTGTCTAGATCCAATCAATGCCTGGATGGGAGAGATGGAAGCTCTGTATCCTGTGTTGAATTCAGTAGAAGAATTGGACCTACTTACGTTGGATGTCAGATCACCTTTGACATCTGATTACTGAATACTGATTACAGTAGAAGCACTGAAATCAGTCTGACTTAAATTTGTCATGGTTTTGTATCATAGTTATCTTAATCTATTATCTTTTCCTATAAAAAATACTAATTTTATAGTACCATTATTAATCTTGCTTTATTCCTGAATAAAGGAACTTACTTCTAATTCTCCCCCGCTACCTATGGGTGTGATTGTAACAGTACTGTTCTATTACCAATTTCTCTCAACAACCATTACATCTTGCAAATGTTAGTTGTGTGTCTGTATTTCTGTAACACAATCCCATCCTGATGTCTGTTTTGTACCTTTTACTCTTGTCATACCAAACCAATAATATGAAACTTCAGGAAGATTAAAAACTCTCCAAGCACACTGAAGCAAAACTAACCACTGAAGTTGAAGATTGTGTTGGTGGCATTTTGTGGGCCGATCTGTCAATTACTTTGAAGACCCATGACTAGCTGGGTATTGGTATAGTTGCAACATGAAACTGGCTTGTTGAGTAACTGCCATTCACAGCACACTGGAGCAGAACTGACAAGAATTTTCAATTTTCTGTGAGGAATGGATTGCTTGAGTTCACCTCTGCAGAAGCAGAGCCAGACCCATTTCTGGGCATTTCAAAAAGCAAGTAAATGGGAATCACTGTCTGTGAATTTGTCCAGTATCATGTGTCTGGGGTCTGGACTACTGCCTGAGTTCACAAAAATTCCTAATTACTTTATTACTGCTAGGAAGCTGGATGATAATTTTGACTACTTCAAAAGATGCTGAGAAATGAATGCTTTCAAGATGGAAGGGAAAAGTTTCAAAATATTTGTTATTTTTGTTTCAAAACAATAAAAAAAGGAAAGATTGTAACTCCAACAGAAAATGTTTTTACATAGTCATGCAGCCATTCCTCAAGTCTCATGATTTCCCACCAACCTAGCTATTTCTTTTCAGCCACAAGAATTGCTAAACCAATGTTATCTACATTCCAATTCCTGGATGGAAATGTGTTATTCCAGCATGGTTGCTACCTATAGTATATAACAAATTTCTACAAAATATTAGAATACATATTCAAAAAGTGCAGATAAATCTATCTTTAGATTTTCTACCTAACTAGAAAAACATTAAAATACAATGTATTACCAGAGCTCATGTTTTGGTTGAGAAATGTAATTAGTTTTATTAAGATTTGATCATTCTTTACCTGTTCATATTTTGTTTCTTTAGAAGTTACCTTCCAATATCTCCTGCAATAATCTCACAGAAGTACACTAATATATGCTGGATTATAAATAGTCATGCATGGAACACTCTTAACATATCTCAAACAAAATTGTGTATCAAAAGATATATTAGAATACTAATATATTCTCATACATTATAACTTTGCTGTAATCCCACCATGGATGGACAAAAGCTTCTTTGCTGTTGTATTTGCAATACAAACTTTAACTTTGATCTGTTTTGTATATTTCATAATTTTTTTCCAGAAGACAGATGCCAGCTTACAAAAAATGATATACATCACTCTTTGCATCTTTGGTAAACAGAAAATACATCACATTATTTCGGTAAGCACCAGATGTTTATCTTGCAATGATGTAACATATAGGTAAAAAGCTTAATTCTGTTTTACTTTGAAAGATTTCTAAGGTGGCATTCTATGGACCATGATGTGTGCTCCAAGAAGCCTTAGGGCCCTTCAGTGTTCTCTCAAAGTTCAATCTAACACTGGAGTGCTCTTATCAGACTTTGTAGCTGGATCTTTGTGGCATGAGGAAACCCTGAGAAAGGGGTAGAGAAGAGGTGGAATAGGAGAGAGTGAATCTTCTGGCATACCTAAACAAGGAAGCCAAGCCAACCCTCAGTTAAACTCATCTAAATATATTTCCATTTATTCCAAATAGTAAAAGGGAGGATTTAGTATAAAAAATGGCAAGGAATGAGATGAATGTTGTTATTCACTAAATTATGCCCAGCCATTTTATCAACATTAAGATAAACCAGTGTCAAATACTCCAAGTTATTCTGCACAGCACCTTCTTAAAATTTAAAATTATGTTATATAAAACAAAATAATTGTCCTTAATTGGCCTTTTCAAAAGAAGATTTAGGTCTAGAAAATTTTAAAAAAATGTTTTTCATTGATAGGTATAAATTAAAGCTGAATGCAACTTATATTTTGAAATTCTCCATCCAATTTGGGGGCAGACAAATTGGATGGATGATTTCTCAAGATTTCTGCAGGAAAAGGAGACATTCTCTGAGGGTTTCTCTAGTCAAGCTCCTATCAGAATGATGACAGTTTTGCAATTCAATATTGAAAAGGACCAATGGGAGGCATTCCCTCCTAATCCTTTTCCATGGAATTTTATTTAAATGTAGGAAGTTAAAGAGCATAGGTGTCTTCAAGGGAAGCAAGAGGAAAAATTTACAAAACGTGGACCATGATGCAAATATTGAGACCCATAGACTTATACCAGACATTAAAATGGTGCCTACGGGCAGGATTTGTGCCATGATTTCACCACACACACATCATTTTTGCATCATTATGGCTTGTTGCATATGTTACTGCTGAAAAGGTTGCAAAACACTGGAGAACTGATCATATAATGAATCAGTTCATTCACACATCCCTTGACCAACCTGAAGTAAGTGTCAAGATATCACTTTCACTCTTGAGAACTTCTCTAAACTTCTCTTCTACTTTGGAAGAATTGTTGAGGAAATTCTCTTTTATCAAATTGAGTAAGAACAGGAAGAAAAAATCCAGGGAAATTTTCCTACCTAGTACTAAAATAAATGTCTCATTTTGTTACCATTTTGATTTTTTTTTAAATTTTGGAAAAAGGTCTCAACTTGTTCTGGTCCAGCAAAAGCACATACCCAAAAAGCGACTGATTCTAATATTTTTCTATGACTGATAATGTATATTATCTTATTAATTCAACATTTCTTTGAATTAAAAGCTGACCTGAAGTGGCTATGTCAAATCCATAAAGTCATTTAAACTAACAGTCATGTTTTTTTCTAATAATTATTACACATTTATATTGCATTAGTTATATAATTCTGTAGATTAATGGTTTCAGTGGTACAGCATAAAGAGTCAGCATCCCTGTACTTGGTGGTCATGGGGGTCCATCCTGAAGTTGTTCTATATGAACTAATCTACCAAATGGTTGGTCCGAGATAATGGTGCTATCAAATGTGACATTACTAACATTCTGTTTACTATAGATGCTTATAAAGATGCCAGCATGTAATGGCATGCACATCCATGAATTGAGGCTAAAGGATGCTAATAATGTCATGTTCCTTGTTCTCAGAAGCTGGTCCTATTTATGACACTGTTTGTCATCTTAAAATTAGGATTAATAGCTTGCTGGGCCTTCAGACCTTGTTGGGGGATAAAGATAAATTGCTTCAGATTAACAGTACCTCATCCAAATCAAATAGTGGTCTTTTACCAAATGTACAAAAACAAAAATGTGTTCTTGAAAACAACAAGAAGGTTGTTCTCAAAAGCAATTTGGGAGTTTACCAAACTGTGAATTATGATTGATACTTCAAAGCTTGGCAAGCCAAGGACAAACTGAGAATGCAGAATGTGAGAGAGAAAATGGCATTCTACAGATCTACATTTAAATCACAAATTAAACATTCTGCTAAATAATTTGATCTTAAAAAAGGCTAACATGTAGAGTAGTAATTCATTTTTACTTTGTTCAACAGACTATATTTTATATTTATTTTATTTATTTATTAAACCAATTTATATAGCAGCCCGTCTCACCACAGGTGGTTCTGGGCAGTGTACAACAAAGCTAAAAACAATAAATAAATACATTAAAAATATAAAAAGCAAAATAAGAGAGAATAAAAAGATGTTAAAAATAAGGGAGCCATCTCAATAATTCCTCCATCCCCTGGGGTCCCCAGGTCTGCTGGCATAACCGAGTCTTAAGGGACCTCTGGAACCTCAACAATGACAAGGCCATCCTCACCTCAAGGGGGAGAAGATTCCACAGTGCAGGTGCCACAGCAGAAAAGGCCCATTGCCTGGGGCCTGCCAAATGTAGCTCTCTAGGTAACGGAACCCATAACATGCCCTCTCTGCTGGATCTGGTAGGATGGGCAGATGAAATTGGGGAGAGGCAGTCCCTTAGATAGCCCGGCCCCATGCCATGAAGGGTTTTAAAGGTCAACACCAGCACGTTGAACTAGATCCGGAAACAAACTGGTAACCAATGCAACTCGCAAGGCAGAGGTGTAACGTGTGTTCTACTAGAAACACACATAACTGCTCGCGCCACTGCATTTTGCACCAGCTGAAGTTTCTGGATACTCTTCAAGGGTAGCCCCATGTACAGCGCATTTGCTGTGGTCTAATTGGGAGGTGACCAGGGCATGAGTGACCATGAGTAGGCCCCTCTGATCTAGGAATGGGCACAACTGGTGCATAATACAAAGTTGTGCAAAGGCCCTCCTAGCCACGACTGCCACCTGCTGTTCGAGCAGGAGTCGTGAGTCCAGGAGGACCTCCAGATTGCACACAGGGTCTATTTGAGGCAGTGCGACCTCATCCAGTACCAAATCCTAGAACCAGAGGGGCTCAAAACCCAAAGCCACTCAGTCTTGCCAGGGTTCAGTTGTAGCCTGTTGTTCCCCATCCAGATCCTCACAGCCTCCAGATACTGAGATAGGACGCCCACAGCATCGCTTAAGTTGCCAGAGGCGGAGATGCACAATTGAGTATCATCAGCATACTGATGATACCTCACCCCATGGTGATGGATGAGATTACCCAGCAGTCTTATGTAGATGTTAAATAGGAGAGGTGAGAGCACCAGCCCCTGTGGCACCCCACAGAGCAGGGGGTGGGGGTGGGATCTCTTCTCCCCAATCACCACAGACTGGAACCAACCCTGGAGGAAGCAGGTGAACCAGCACAATACTGTGCCGCCCACCCCCAATTCTCTGCATCTGTTTAGAAGGATACCATGGTCGATGGTATCAAAAGCCACCAAGAGGTCAAGTAAGGCAAGGATGGGTGTACAACCACCATCCTGCCCACGTCAGAGATCATCCAAAAGCACAACCAATGCTATTTCTGTACCATATCCAGGTCTGAACCCTGACTGAAAAGGATCCAGATAATCCACTTCATC